CCCTGCTTCGGGAACTGATTCTTCTCAAAACGACGATTTTCCTACAGCTGATTGGCGGTTTCAAAATGGCCGCCGGATAAATAAAATGCCTCCCCCGTTTTCTGGGATGGATTCCTTGCAAGACAGCCACCGAAAATGACTGCCCTACGGAGGATCTTCTCTGGATGGTGAGTTTTTAGCCCATTGGATTGCATTAAATTGATTTTAATATTTTTCTACAGCTGATCGGCAGTTTCAAACTGGCCGCCAGATAAATAAAATGGCTCCCCTGTTTTCTGGGACGGATTCCTCGCAAGACAGCCACTGAAAATGGCTGCCCTATGGAGGATCTTCTCTGGACAGTGAGGTTGTAGCCTATTGGATTGCATTAAATGTATTTTAATGCGTTTCAATGGGTTTTTAATTTTCACATTACGTTTTTGTTCTACAGCGATTTTGCTGGAACGAATTAACATCGTAATGCGAGGCACCACTGTAGTTGTTTTTACCATCGCCCTCACCCTTGTAATTTTCCATGGCCAAGAAGAGATTAGAGTCCAGGTCTGATAGATAGATAGATAGATAGATAGATGGACATTTCTGTTGACAACTGAAGGCCTCTTTGTTTACCTGATTATATTTTTACTATTAACATTATAAGCTTCTGTTTTTTATGTTTTCTTTTGATTATGCGGTTTCATTGCTATATTATATTATCTGTTTAAGACTTTAAATGACAGATGTTATAGAGACAGCAGATGGATGGATGGATGGATGGATGGATCAAATTCAGAGCTAATTGGAAAAATACAGTGGCCAAACTCTTATTACTTGCTCTTGCTGACATAATGCAACTGCTGTAAATCTCACTGATGTGTTTTTGGTTTTTGCAGGGAGGAGGCTAGACTTTAATTCTGTGCCAATTCTTCACAACCATTGCAAAAATTCCCTGTGCAGTCTTTTGGTGAAGCTTGCTCAGCACATTTTCTACCATGCAGTCTGGTGCCCAATCCCCAAGAATTTAGCAAGATTTGTACAAGTGGTGTACTGTTTCCACTAAGGCCCCCACATCTTCTGGATGCATGACAAGGTAAAGACCATGGCCCAAGTTGGCAATATAGTGCTGGAACAAACAAAGCCTTTGAACATCTTCTTCACTCGCCTTCCCCAATCTCCTTTGGTGTATAGACCATGGCCCAAGTTGGCAATATAGTGCTGGAACAAAGCCTTTGAACATCTTCTTCACTAGCTTTCCCCAATCTCCTTTGGTGTACAGGATTGTATTTCCTCACAAGGTAACACCTTTTCTTGTCTGCTGGTGAGCATCCTCCAATTGAATGGTCTAGTCCAGGATAACCACTTCATATCCAGAGTGTGCCAAGTTCTCTACCACATAGCATGCCATCTTCCCTAAGAAGGGCAAATTTGGCTGTAGCAATCCACTCCTTTAGGTGCTGGAGGAGACTCTTGAGAGTCCCGTGGACTGCAAGGAGAATAAACCTATCCATTCTAAAGGAAATCAAACCTGAGTACTCACTGGAAGGACAGATCCTGAAGCTGAGGCTCCAATACTTTGGCCATCTCATGAGAAGACCCGACTCCTTGGAAAAGACCTTAAAGAGTGAAGGCAAGAGGAGAAGGGGATGACAGAGGATGAGATGGCTGGACATCGAAGTGACCAACATGAATTTGACCCAAGTCCGGGAGGCTGTGGAAGACAGAGGAGGGCCTGGTGTGCTCTGGTCCATGGGGTCACGAAGAGTCGGACATGACTTAACGACTAAACAACAATATTTAACTTGTTTTTTTAATCGTGTGAATTTTAATATTGTGACTTGGTCTGGGTTCCTTGTTGGGAGAAATACAGCATCATCATCATCATCACCATAATTGATGGTTGTTCCTTTTGCCATCAGATGAGCTAATTATTAGCTTATATAGAGATTCCTGTTAATGTTTTTCTATGTGTGGAAGAGAACAGCATCAAAATTATAACTACCACCTTGATGCAGGATGAGAAAGTATTAGAATTATACTCCTTGACAAAGGCTTGAATCCAACTGCCAGTCCCTGTTAGAGTAGATGTACTGAAACAAATTTCCATCCAGATTATGCAATATACATCTATATGTATATGTGTAGACACTGAGTGTATAGATGGAACAAAGTGCTGGACAGGTTTAGTTATCTGGCAGTGGAGCCAGATGTTGGGAATTTGATTCCACACTGTGCCTCCTTGACAGCTGGACTTGATGATTCATAGGGTTCCTTCCAGTTCTGCAGTACTAAGATTTCCAAGAAAGAAAAAAATCCAAATGATGTGATAGCAATCCCCTGCCATATACATATTGGGAGAAAAATACCTGCGAAGAGATAATCTATCTGAAAATAGTGCAATGATTTCTATTTACTGTTCAATGGCTACCGTGATCCAGCATTTGGTGAATTGACCTTTATCTTACTTGGGATCAGATGAATCTTGCAAATGCTACGGAATAGGCTATATAAGATGACAGATCACATATAATCATTTTTTCCCAACTTGAGGCTAAAGCTTGGTGGCTAATAGATTATACAGTTACCACATAAATAGTTTGTCTTCATGGGAACTTGCCTTAGCAACCTCAATATTTAACAAGCAGACATAACTAATTACCTCCAGCCCCTACAGAGAAGGAAGGCTCTAGGTCACGGTGAAGGAGAGCATTCCAGGTCTTCTTTTTACCTCTGTCTAAAAAGGAGTTCTATTCAAAACTAATTAATAGAAACTTGACTCAAGAAATTGTACAAGCCAAGATAAATTTTTAATGTTCCTTGATAAATTTTTGTATCTTTAAGGAATCTAGACCTCCTTTTCCTACAAATAATTAATATAAAGTGCACAAGTAATATTTTTAGAATGCTACATATTTTTCCAAAGTTAAGAAAAATAAAGAATCATTTTTCCTAGTGATTATCATTTATAAGAGACAACTTCACAAATTAAATATTCTAGCTTTTAAAAGGGTCATCTGCTGAACTGATGGTTGTTCTTTCTCACATGCACATGTCAGCCTTTATGGTTCTGGAAGGAGAGTGAAAGAATAAACACTCTCTTTGGAAGTATAAAAGCCAATAGAGAGTAAAGGGTTGTTCTTGTGTTATTATATCCAGACCCATCCCAGACCTATGGTTTGAACATGTGTTAACTAGCTTTTGTAACCTGATAACTATAACAGAGATGTGTTCTTTATACCAGTGGTCCCCAACCTTTTCCCAACCACAGACCAGCTGAGTGTGTGTGTGGCACGTGATAACTATAACAGAGATGTGTTCTTTATCCAGTGGTCCCCAACGTTTTCCCAACCACAGACCAGCTGGGTGTGTGTGTGGCACACCCGCAGAATATTTGCAAAAATATTATGTCTATTCCCAAGCTCTTATTGTAAGGGAAAGCAACAAGGTAAAGAGGGATGAGACAGGCTCATTTTGTGACTGATAGCTCTACCTTCTAATTAAAGCAGATTGCTTTCTCAGAGTTTTCCAATTCCAGTGGTTTTGGAGGGTGTTTGTGTGTATAGAATGATGAAGCAATGTACTGCAGAACTGTTTCAATATTTGGCATTCTTTGGAAGCTCTTTGGGTGCTAGCTTGTTTAGAAAATGCTGGATGCTCAAGTATTTCTGCCTCTGTCACTGTACGCTTCTCATCCATCATCCACACCATCCTATTGCGCTTTCAGTGACTTTGCTGCCAAGTGAGCATAAAATGAAACAAAACTTTACACTACTGTTTTTCACTCATTGTAAATCCCTTCAGAAAATATCCATGTCCTTTTGAAATTCTGCAAGTTTCTTATTATTCAATGGCTGGAATCCTGTTGCTTTGTAATACATGTGGAAGGCAAACAATTTAATATTCAATCACAACAATTGTCTATACAACAATTCATTACAATTTTTACAATCTAGAAGGGGCTATAAAAGATCATGCCATGTAAGGGTGTGCTCCTGGAGACAAAGACTAAGATACTCCAATATTCCTCATTACTATGTGCAAATGTAAAAGCTGGACAGTGAAGAAAACGTATAGGAAAAAATTGATTCATTTAAGATATGGGGATGAAGGATAATTTTATGGATACTGTGAGCCACCAGAGTGACAAATAAGTGGGTTTTAGACCAAATCAAACCTGAACTCTCACTAAAAGGTATATTGAGGCGCTTGTACTTTGAATATACCATGAGAAGGCAAGTCTCACCAAAAACAACATAATGCCAGGTAAGTCAGGAGAGGTAGGAAAAGGGGAAGACCTACTATGCAATGAATTGACTCAATAAAGGGACCTTTAGTTTGCAAGACTTGAGCAGGGCTAGTAATTATGGAGGTAATTAATTTATAGGGCTCCTTTATATCAGAAGCAACTTGATAGCACACAACAAGAACAATTTCCCAAAGAACTCTCCACACAAAAATATGTGGAATAAAGGCATCTTTTCTTGAAAGCTCCAAACTATAAAGGTTGCTCTTATTCAATGCCCTCTAAATCTACTCATCTGAAGCTTGGCAGACATAATCCACTAAGAGTCTAATTCTATTGTTATTTGTGGCTCCATTTTTTTAAAAAAAGTATAAAATGTGGAGTATACAACCTCTGCATAAGTTTGAATTTTGAACTCATTGAGACTTGCCTCTGACTATTTATTACCGGACTGAAAGATAACTGTGCTAAGTAGATAAAGACTGACAAACGTTCAATTTACCACAAACCTATCTCACAGGGCTGTTGCAAAGGCAAAAATGGTCAGGGCCAAGTACACTGCCCCGAGTTCCCTGCAGGAGACATAAATGTAGCAACAAATCAATATACAAATAAACTAACAGGGATAATCTCATTTCCCTATAGAGATTATCCCGATGAAAAAAGCGGCATGACAAACCAAGGATAAATGGATAGAAAGAATTCACCTCCCATGAACGCATGTCCCACAAGTCACTGAAATGTGCTCTTAGTAAGAAATAAAACAGAAAACTAAAAGAAGTAATTTAAGAGTGTTAACTGTATTTAAGTCCTCTTAGAAGTCAAAATACATTTTATATAATTTGCAATGCAGGAAATACACACAAAAGCAACATTATGGGCAGAAAAAAACCTGTTGGGTATGTTAACCACCACACAAGATCAGGGGTTTTCAATAAAAGAGAGGTTATAGGATGGGCCATGTAATTCATCAGCTGTGGTAAGACTGGTTTTTCTCAAAGTGCAAATTTCTATAAGTGATTCTCTTAAGTAAATTATCCATGGGAGACAGCAAGCCAGTAGTTTTTGGTGACTATGGAGATGAAGTAGGAAATTGATCACTGTGGCCAAGCAGCTGAACTCCTTCCCAACAGAGACCAGCTTGGTCCTGTTGTCCTTCCACCAGCAGCCCTAAAGACCTTTTTGCTGGTTATTTGGCAAATGATTACCTGCCAGGTTAAGCCAATCAGCTGCCAATTGGGCAATGTTGTATTTTTCTATCTTTTAAAACTCTTATTTTCCATTGTTTTAGATCTTTTTTTTAATAGCTTGAAATGTTGAATTGATTTTTTATAGTGTAATTTGTTTCATTTTTAAAAACCATGTCTATCTTCTAAATATTTGTAAGTTAGCTGGGCAAAGGTCTGTTGTGTAACTTTATACCAGAGTAATCTGGATTGGGTACTGAAGCATTTACTTTAAAGTAACTAAGTTTTCTACCTACTCCTTTAAGGTTGTGAGGCTGCCTAGGGCTCCCTTTTGCCCTGGGGAAGCCTTTGAGAGCCTCAGGATAGTGGTGGAGGAAAGCCTTTAATTGTAAAATAAACATTACTGGACTCCCTCTACCAGATTTGGGACTTCTGGTGATGATCCAGTGGCTATTCTTTTCCTATTAAAAGTTTCCTCTGTCCCAAGGTTCCAAAGGCTTCCCCAGGGCAAAATAGAGCCTAAAAGAGTGCTGGAACCTAAAGAGTGGGGGATAGGAAGCTTTTAATTACTTGAAATTAAATGCTTCCAAGCACCTGACCTGAATTATGTTGTGCAAATTTATGCCAACAGGATTTTGCCCAATTTATCTGCAGCAATAAGATTCTGAAGTGTTGTATTGAAGAAGTCTGTATGAAAATGGAGCCAGTTATCTTACTGGTGATGCACAGGTGTCTCTTTGTCCAGGAATCATATGTTTAAGGGTAGATAGCTTCATTCAGCTTCACAGTTTTTATACATATTCAGTCATTTCATCAGTATCCAGTTACTGCATTATGAGATTTGTGTATTCTCTAGAAAAAGGTACAAGATTGGGCAGGTAACTTTAAATAGACAAAAAACAACATTTTTGAGGGAACAACTAATAAATATGCCTTTTCAGAGTTAACAATTTCATTAACAAATTTATAATGACAATATATCAAACGAAATGTTTCAGGTTTTAGATGGGGACAGCAAGTAATTCACCTTCTAATTTGTAATGTTTAATTCCAACGTTAGAATGATCAGGCAGAACATTAGAACAAACAGAAGTTTGATACCTCTATTATGCAAGGAAGTTTAATCTCTCTCTATATATAACAGAGGTATAGAACTTGCATAGTCAAGCACAAAAAATGTACAAAGGTCAAAGCTTGGAAGATTAGGTTTGGACAGTCTAATGTTGATATTAAACTTTACAAATTAGAAGATATTAGTTGCTGTTATATATATGGATTTAAATGACCTAAAATGGACTTAACTGTTCCTTGCACACACAAAATCCAAAAATAATGGGAAAAGTACGAAAAGATGGGGGGAAAACAATAACACCCAAACATACCTTCTAATGATATGTCATCTTATGGACTATATTTATTTAATTGACTATATTTATTTAAAGGTATGATAATGCAGAGTATATCAAGATATCAGTGAGATTAGTAGACATGAATGCTGGGAAAATGTGTGGAAATGATTTAAAAATGTGTAAAATCTGGTTAGCAAGGGATAGTGTTGAATCATGTATACCCACATATATTGTTGGTTTAACTATGTCTAATGTTTAAAATCATATGGCCAGCAGGTCTCCAATAAACTGCAAACATTTTAACTAATCTTTCACTTTTAAAGCAATAAAAAACCTACCATTTATATTTAGGCCAAAGTTAGATTTTTAAAAAAAAATCTATCAAGACTTCATTGTAATAATAATTGATTCTTTGTTATTTTTAAATAGGAAGCTCAGCATTAGTTGTCTTAATCATAGTTATGTCTGCACACGTTAGAACTGTGCTATGAGTCTTGTGTGCCAATACATGTGCAATTGATTTTATTATATGGTTCCCTGTTATTGTCAACTATACTTTCAAAAAATTGTTTCTCACACTCTTTCAAATAAGAGACAATAAATTCTGGAGGTGGATCTGTGACCCAGATTAATGGGTGAGATCATGATTCATGATCTTTTATTAAATTCATGTATTTATTGAGTAATCTGCCAGGAGATTCTAAATACACTTTTGGTTTCTAATATTGTCCATTGTCAAATAAAAATAAAAGTAAAAATTCACAAGTTCTCCTCTTCACGTAAAAACTGGAACACAGATGAGAAGTCTTTCTGGGCATAGCCCTTGGCACACATAATCCTGTAAATCTGGTGGGCTAAAGAGCCAAGAGGGACTGGTGTTTTGGTATTAGTGGCAGATATTTGGGCCAAACCAAGATCCTGGAAAAAGAAGGAAACAAACATTTGGTGGAGGTGGAAGAAAAAAGAGCATTAAAATAGTTGTAGGCATTATACAATGAAAACGATATCTCAAAATACAGATATGGGCTTATCAGAAAAAACCACAGTGCTTTCAGAATTCCTACAATTTCTTCAAAAGACTTTGGGACAGGAGCAGCCTATAAGTTACACGTAACCCGCTATAAAATCCATTAATGTTCCAGAAAAGTGATTCAGACATACTTCCATGGCTGAGCAAACATGATTTAATATGATACCTGTTCTTACTTCTGTTGACCAATCACAAAACAAAGGAAACCAATTTACAAAGTAGAGTTTAAATATTTCCTGCTGTGCCAATGAGTATTTTTTTCAGTAATGAAGAAATTTCCTCTCCTAATAATGATTTACCATCAATGTATAGTTTTGCTAGCACATGATTTGATTTAGAGGCAAAAGGTCCCAAATTTATTCTGCAGCATCTCTGGAGAGTTGTGGAACACTGCATAAAACCTTGGAAAGCTGCTACCAGTCACTGTATACAAGAGATGGGGAATCTGTAGCTAGAACTACAACTCCCAGTAACTGTAACCATTAGGCATACTGGTAGTTGGGGCCCAACAACATCTGAAGGACCACATAATCCCCACCTCTGTAATAGAAGATAATTTAATAGTTAACCAGTTATGTAATCTGATTCTGTATGATAAATTCCCTTACTCCTCAAGAATAAAATAATAAGCTAAAACTATTAGGTACATCTAAGACTCCATCTAACTCATTTGGCCCATTTTTATTGATATTTACAAATTTTAAGAATTAAAATCCCCATTTCAGGTCTTGAGTTGTTTGACAGACAAAACAAAACATTTTCACAAATATGTGAATTGATGACTTTTGTTTTTATGTTCCTTGCCTACTTTTGTTTAGGAAAGTATAGCCCAGTGGTCCCAGAATTTCCTAACCTATTTCAAGATCCCCTTGTGTCCTCCATTTAAAAAAAAAATAAAAATCTTTAGCACAATACTTGTGAAGATATAGACAAATAGTATAGGTGGAGTTCCAAATTCAAAGATGGACAAAGTTGGGGGGGGGAGCTAGGATTAGGCAAAGATTCTTCTGTCAACTGAAATGCCATTCCATTTACAGAACCTCTTCCAAGGACTCAGGACCAACTGGAAACAATTATTGAGCCACATATTCTTAAATGACAGTAGACAGCAAGCAAGCTTTCCTGGGTAGCAATGTTCATAACCTGGGCACTAAAACAGAGGGATTTTGGGGAGTTGCTCCCAATTTTTTTTTATATAAGCTGGCTGATATATTATTGCCTGTTTCTATGTGCATGTATGTATTGTGTATGTGTTTTAGTATGCCACTGGACTAAATCCAAAGTTAGTCCAAACTACAGTAGACACACTGCAATAAATGGGACTGATTAATCACTACTTGCATATGTCTGCACTAATTTCAAAAGGTCTATTCTAATTGGGACCAAAGCTAGATGCAGGGCATTATCTACCTCAAACTTTCTTGGTAGAGATGATACAGAAATCTAATATATACATGCCATCACTAAGAAATAATTTTGCAGTTTTTCATAAGATGAGGAAAATGTACACAATGATCTGATATGCTCTTAACAGTCATCTGAACAATCAAAATAGGTTATTAAAGTAAACATTTTTTTTAATTCTATGTACCAATACTGAGTCACTTTTGTATAAAAAATAATTTATCTTCTGGACTACACAAACGTACATACCTTAGCCATAAGGGTTGTTCCAAAGCCACCTTGATAATTGTTCCCAGAAGGTACTCCTTCCATTACTCCCGGCACAGGGTTGTAAGTATCGCTTGACCAACAGCGGCCTGAGCTCATATTTAAGATTTTGGCCAGCAGCTTTGGGTCAAGCCCTAACCTGTCAAAGGTCAAAAGAAGAGAAGTGTTCGTGTCAAAATGCACACGTCATGGGTGACTTACTTTATATGTTGAAACCACATTGTCATTTCATCACCTTTATTGCAAGACTTGAAAAATGATCAAAAGCACTGCTGTTAAGGAGAGACAGACCCTTCCTTAAATTAAAGGTCATCAATCCTCCATTCAGTTCTAGCATGCAGATTGCCGGATGAAAGTCAAAACACAAAATAAGAGGACCTTAAGAAGCAGTAGCTCCCTTTTGCTTTTCTATCAAAAGAATATAATCTTATTTTAAAATTTAAATGATATTCTAGGATACTGTGTGAACCATCCCAACACTGAGGTACAAACTGGTAAGATTAAAAAGAGGTTTTCCGTCTACTGTTGCAATTTTTCTTTCTTTCTTTCTTTCTTTCTTTCTTTCTCATATTATATGCTCTTGCTCAAGAGGCAAGTCTACACAGTGCTGTGACATATGTTCTCTATCTATTCAGAGACATGCATTATAGTTCTGGGTCACTTGCTGAGGAGGTGACTGATCCTGATAAAACAAAGCTTGTCCAAGCAGAAACATCATTTGTTCTATTGCCATCACTGAGTTGATGCACAAACTACTGCACAGTTGAAGGCAGACTTTAAACATAGTGCATATTTTAATACTGCAACCTTTTAAATAAAACAACCCCAACATCTGTTGTTTCTTTGTTTGCTGCTATCAAGTTGTGAAGTGTCATTTTAGAGCAATTAGACTAGCAATGATAACCCCAAACAACAGCTTTGGAAAGTCAGTTTTACAAACATACTAGTTACCTAAAAAGAAAGACCTATAAATGTATGTGCAGCAACGGAAAGAAAAACACATGTTTCAAGCTGCATTTAAATGTCCCAGTAATTAAATGGGGTTTACTTCTGTGATGAGTTAGGCTGCATTGCCTGAAATGTCCACACGTCCTGCAGGCTTCACAATATACACTAATGAACAAAAATAACATCAAGGAGAACAGAACAGGATGAAATGCCTAAGAGAAAAAAAATTGCTCTGGAACAGCCCTTTTTGAAAATGGCATTCTGTAAGAACTCTAATGTGCCAATGCTTTCCTAGTCATTATATTTCTTGTGATAACGTTTTTCTTGTGGCAAAAACTTCCAGGGAGGAATGCTGTGTAAATTTGCAACAGCAGAACCAGTGAAGAGTCTTATGGCAATGTTTGATTTGGCATATAAGCTTTTGTGAGCTGCAGCCCACTTCAGTTAGGGCAAATCAAATAGGATAGTATTTAAGGTAGTATGAGGCTTTTTGTCATTTTTCTTATTGTAGCAGGCAGGACATATCAACTGCATGCTTTAAAGAAAAGAGACAACATCAAGTACTAAAGCAATACATTATATACATGAAGATCAGAACCTCATGTTCTAGTGGCAATTAATTTTTTTGCATCATAAATTTGTTGGCTCCAGGCTAATTTTCAGTTATCCCTTCTTCAAATTTATTTATTTAATTGGAGGAAGGAATAAATTTTCAGTTATCCCTTCCTCCAATTAAATAAATAAATTTTGTTGATTTATTTATTTATTTTTAAATTATTCCTATTGTACCTTATTAACTAACTATATTACTTTCTGAATCAGTAACTATATCATTTCTCTGGATTCTGTACCTTTTGATGCAGAATTACTTAGTAACATTAGCAAAATGTAAAAAAGAAGACAACAGGAATACAACAATATAAAATGGGAAAATTCATAAATCAATGAAATAAAGTGATCCTCCAAATCCAAAATTTTAAAAATTCTATCCAATGGTAAAAAGTCCCAAATCTGTTAGACAAGCTTCCCTGGGGAGAGAATTCTACCAGAAGGAGCAGTACCACTGAGAAGGCCTGATCCCTGTTGGCTACCTTCATTTCACCCTACTGAGCAGTACTGCTCAGATAATTATGAACTATGCTTTCAGATGACCTCAGGATCTGCTTCCTTACCACAAACTAGCCTTCACCCCCAATGAAACACATCCAGGCATAAATCAAACTGCTGGCCATTCACTAGAGTGAAGATTCTGAATATTTTCACTCTATAAAATGCACTCCCCACCCAAAAAAAATGTGGGGGAGTGTCTGCGTCTTATGGAACAAATACAGTAAAACAGCACTCCCCAGCGCCCAGCGGGGGGATGGTGGAGGGAGCCTCGGAAGGGGCCAAGAGTGCCTTTGGCACTCGGAAAGCCTCAGAAGGGTCCTGGAAGCTGGTGATGTCATCCCTGCTGGCCCCGCAGAGGGGCAGGGGGAGCCTCGGAAGGGGCCAAGAGTGCCTTTGGCACTCGGAAAGCCTCAGAAGGGTCCTGGAAGCTGGCGATTTTGCCCCCACTGGCACCACGGGGAAAGCCTCTGAAGGCTGCTGGAAGGCACTCTCAGACCCTTCCAAGGCTCCCCCCATCTCCATCCAGATGGGCCCAGCGGGCCGAAATTGCCAGAATATTTTTTCCTGTTTTCTTCCCCTGAAAATGAGGTGCGTCTTATGGAGCGAAAAATATGGTAATTTGTTGAATATGAGTCAATGTTTAAGTAAACTGCATTGATTTAAAGGTTCTACTTTAGTTAGGACAAATCATTGGATTCAGTTTCTTGTCTTTTTCCCCACAGACTATTATTATCTTTTAAATTAGCAACAATAGTACACGCCATACATATGGTTTCCTGCTTATTTTTCTATTGGATTCCATACTAACAGATGTATTTCATGCAATTCACAAGGAAAATATATGCAGCCACAGTTAACCGACTGTATACTTGAAGGCTATTTAAGGTTAAACTGACAATTCAAAAGAATCCACAAGGTTTCATTCAATCATACACTTCCCAAATTCTGGATATAGATACTTCATATCAATTCCAGAGCCGTATTTCCTTCTTTGGGAGGTTCAACTCTATGGATCACTTTCAGAAAGACTTACAAAGTCTATGTATAAGATTACATTGTAAGTCTTTCTGAAAGTGATCCATACAGTCTATTCATACATTTTCCTCCCAAAGAAAGAAATTCTGCTCTGGAGTTGGTGCATGCCTATGTATAAGATGACATAATCTTATACACCACTCTAGTAGTGACAGGCAGTTTGATTTATGCCAGGGTGTCTTTCAGTGGAGACCAGAAATAAATTCCACAGAGCTCAATGGGGCTTATTTTGAGGCAAATGGATATAGGATTGCAGCTTTATTCTATAGGGCATAAACAAACTTTACATATTTTAATCCCTAAACTAAACATCACCTTATAAGAGTTTTAACAAACACTTTTAAAATACACTTTAAAATTACTGATGTTATAGATGCAGATACATTTGACTTCCTTCCCTATTAGTTTTAAGAAGAAAATGTAAACATAAACTAATCCCAATTTCTAAAATTATGTGTTTTTATGCACTATACAGTTTTCTTCAAGTAATCTGAGGCTGCTCCCCCTCCCAACTGCTTCTCTTTTTATCCCTTGCAGCAAGTATATCATTAAAAGGAGCAAGTTAGAAGTGTTTTGCATTTCATCTTTCTGAGGATTCATCTACTGGTGCGTAGATAACTGACAGCTAAAATTAGACATGTATTAAAATCAGTTACTGAAGAAGTCCTCTGTCTTCCACTGTGCCCAAAGCTTGTAATGGTCTGAAAGCGGGTAGAATATACAGTAATTGTCATTCAGTAAGAGTCTATCCTAGAAAGTCATGCTTCAGTGGAGAAGACTGAGTTTCCATTTGAAATCAACAAATTAATCCAAGACAGGTATCTGAAAGGGCAAGTTTAATAGGAAGCAGCTACTGGGCTCTCAACCATGATAAAATGTTATTGCTGTTTCCCTGTAAATTGGCTCGGAACATATGATACTTTCTGCATAAGAGCTCTATTGCTGTTCAAGAGATATACTGCTCAAGCTATCAAAACGATGACAGTCTGTCAGTCCCCATAATAACTTGCCACTGGACACGGCCAGACTGTGCATGTGCGCATGCATTTACAATTACCAAGGTGTTCCACATTTTGGGGGGAGAGAGGCAAGGGGAGAAAAGGAGCACATTATTTTGGCTGCATCACCCATCAATAATTGGAGCATATACTCAACACGCAAATCCATAAAGCACGTCATAAGCCAGAAGACAGGTTCAGGACTGCTGAAGAAAAGATCCCCAGATGTTTTCCTTTAAATTAAGTCTAAATCTTTAATTAAACATCTCACCAGGTAGTCAGCTGAGGAGTACTTTAAAAGTTTAATATTAAATAACGTGCACATGTCTTGCAACCAACTTATAGTGACCGAGTCCTAAACTCTGCCCTGTGTGGTGTAATGCAGCATTCTCAACCTTGGGCCCCAGATGTTCTTGGATTACAATTCCCAGAAATCCTGGTCAGCACATGAAGACCACATGGTAATATGGCTTGCAAAGTAAGAGAGACATTTAAGACACGGTTTTACTTTTACCAGTTTCACCCCACTCCTACTCCTGGTGAGTTTTTACTTTCAAGCAACGATTTCTGAGCCCTAGATGGTCATTCTATCCATTAAACCAGCGGTTCCCAACTGTGGGTCCCTAGATGTTCTTGGGACTAAAACTCCCAGAAGCCTTCATCACTAGCTGTGCTTGCCAAGATTTCTGAGAGTTGTAGTTGGGAACGGTAGATTACCTACCTGTAATTGTAGTTCTTCGAGTGGACTTCTGTGATTCACACCCTGGGTGATTCACACCTGCACGGAGCCTCATCAGAAGATTCTAGAGCTTCTGCGGTAGCAATAAACACATTAGAATATGCGCCTTCCCACCTGTATAAGTACCTTGGTGCCAAGCGTCCCCTTTCAGTTGTGTCGACCGCCGCTTAATAGTAAACAAATGATGGCGTGACAGAGGGGAGGATGGGCAGGATGTGTGAATCACAGAGGTCCACTCGAAGAACTACAATTACAGGTGGGTAACCTGCCATTCTTCTTTGTGGCTTCTGTTAATCACACCCTGGAGGC